AGGCTTGCTGATCACAGGAAATACACACACATTTTTACTAAATAATGCCAAGGCAATGTTATCCAACTTTAATTTTTAGTGACCTGGTGGCCACAGAGCAGCATCCCAATGTCCTCTGAGATTATTGGTGCTGGTCAGATTATTAGAAAGCTGGGGGTCTCTTTACACACCTGGGATCCATTAAAGTGCCCCCTCCAGAGACTTGCTTTTTCATGCCCTTTAGGAAGAGAAAGAAGACTGAAAAGCAGAAGGTTAAGGCGTACGTAAGAGCCAGGCTGCCCGGGGAGTGCCTGGCCCTGCCGTTTACTGGCAGTGCGAACTAATGGACATGCAACAAAGGTTAGTTATTATATTAACTATAAACAGTAATTTATTAATATTGTAGATGTAGAAACATGATTGAATTATTAAAATTATATTAAGGTTATAGTAATTATTATTGTTATTAGTTTCTTGTTGACTTGAATGTATTTTTTTATGTTTGCTAGACAGTCATCCTTTGTGAATTTTGGCTGTTATGCAAATATCCTCAGCAAATCTATCATCTGTCTACTAACATTGTCTAAAGTAACATGTACTGTAGTCAAACTTTTTTGCCATAAACTGTTACCAAACAAATGAACCCGTGGGGAGGGGGTGTTGCCCAGATGCTATTACCGAAACAGTAACAGCTCCCCCGTCCCCAGGGTCCCTCAGTTGTAGGTCCTTTGCCCACCGCCCTTAGAATTATGGCTCTGAATGGCAGAGTTTGGTGAAAAGGAAAGGAACTATTTATTCAAAAGTTATACAGGTTTGATTAATGGCTAAATGTCGCCCTTAAACCTCAAAATTCTTTTAAAACAATCACCAGCACACCCACAGTCCTGCCTTTCCCCGCCTGGCCCAGTTAGGCCAGTCAGGCCTGTCTGGGGTACCGTCCTTCAGAAGAAAAAGAACAGAAGTCTGGGGCTCGGCTAGGCAGGCCTCTCGCAGTTCTCAGCATCATCCGCTGTGTTGCTGCGATCTCCAGCTCTTAATCCATAACCATGTGGCACCTACTCATGGCCCACTAGGAAGAGTCCTTTCTCTCCTCTTTCTTCCCGCATAGTCTTCACACTGTTCCCCAGAGTCTGTGTCCCTTTGTCTCTCCTGCAGGCCCCTGTCTCTCTTCCTTCCTCTCCCAGTCACATTCTACATTGTCTTTCAAACCTTCCTGATTAGCCTTGGTGATATGCAAAATAACCCTCTTTGCATATGAAGAATGAAGCTATCCTGTTATTGACATGCAAAATGACACTCAATGGCCCTGCTCAAGGCTCCCATCCCCCATGGCTGCCCGCCTTGCGGTGGGGAGAATATATTTTTCTTGGACACTCGAATCTCCGGACCCTGTTACAAATACCTTTTGGGGGACCCCTGGATGTGCCCCCTTACAATACTTTGCATACTTTGGAGACTTGAGACTTTTCTCACTTCCATGACACAAAAGTAATCTATATTTTCTTTTTATTTAATTTCAGATTTCAGTCCATTCTGATCCTAGGATTGGAATTTCCAGATATTTTTGAAGAGCTGGTCACACAGTCTCTTGTTCTTTTGCTTCATGCACTTGTATTGAGGTCCCTAGAGTAGATCCAGAATGCACAAAAAGGTTGATAGAGAGTTTATCAGTTAATGGGGAAGGAAGGGCTAAATGGTGTCCTGATTATACTAAATGGGTGCAGGCAGAGGAGTGAATTGGAGGAGGCTTTGTTCAGGGGGTGGGACCCGAGCTGTGCCCCGAGGGAGGGGGCGTTGCAGTAGCAAACAGGGAGGGGCGGGCGCTCCTGGAGGAGGAGGCTGTAACAGAACCAGCAGAGTGTTGGGGGCGGTCGGAGGGCAGGACGGAACAGTGAGGGGACTCGGAGGCTCATCTGAAGGATGTAGAAGGATGTTGGTGAAAGCACGGCGGGTTTGAAAAGCTAAGCGGAGGCGCAGGGACGTGATAGGACGTACAACAGATACTCATCATCAGTGTGTGCAGGGAGGGGAGCTGGGGAAAAAAGTGAGAGTGGTAACATTTAGACATCAGTGTATAGCAGATGCTTTAAGGAGCACAGGCCAGTTGGAGAAGAGGGAGTGGGAGATCAGGGAGACAAGACGGACCACCTGGTCTTCCCTGGCAGGATGAGGACGGCTCCTAGATCAGGTGGCAGGGTCTCATGCTACTGTGAGGGAGGAACTCAAGGCAGGTGTTTGTAATGTGGATAATGAAGCACAGCCAGGAGCAGGACTTCCGCACTGGTGATAGAACATCCACAAGGCACCTGCTTGATTACTCAGGCAATATGGCCTCATAGTCCAATAGAAGTGAAGCCTGGTGCTGCAAAAATCAACATCCTTGCAATGGCCCTGGGTGGTTGATGAAGGCATTCCTGGCTGCACGCCACACCCTCTGTCCTCGAACCACCGACCTCTGTCCCTGAGAAGTGTGGCTGGGTATACAAGCTGCTTCCAGGTCCCGTTCCCAAGGCCTAGCTCTGTCTCCCCTGCTGTCCCTCCTGTTCCCTGCCCTCATTCCACACCCAGTGGTCCAGACCGACTGCCAGTAACAGAAGTGTGGCCCGAGAACTTGAATTAGACTGAGAAAGGAAAATGGAAGGATCCCTCAACTTAGTGTGCACAGTGTGTAAAACTAACTACTCACAGGTCGCTTAGAAAATTCACTGAAATGGAAAAATGGGTTCATTCCTTATCTATAGACATTTCTGGAGAATGCTACTATCCCCTCCTCCTCCCCCTCCTCCTCTTAATTTTCACTGTTTTGGAAAATATAGGATCTTGAAAATTCCTGAAACAAATAATCTTATTACATTTATTTGGGGTTAAAATTTTTTTCAGAGACTATATACTAGGAAAAAGTAGCTAATTAAAAGCATGCCATTTTGGAAGGACTTGTTAAATTCCTCCAGGAATGTCACATGTGTGGGCTACAGTTTTGGAAGGAGCCACACCCTGCCCAGCTGCACACTCTGGGAGCCGCTGCAGGAAGAGTGTGAGAGGAATTGTGGAGGAGCTGCTCATATGTGACAATGAGCTTGTTGAACATCAGGTGCATTTATTTAAGAGCTACTTTTTCAGACTTAATTTCCAATCTCTCTGCTTGATTAATACTCTCCATGACTAATATGAATTCTACTCTAAATACTACAATGCTGCACATTATTTGCTGAACTGTCAGTTATGACACTAGGCTAGCATTCATGATGATCCAGCCTCATTATAAATTGACCCTTGAAAAATCTTGGGTCAATAATTGGTGTTTCCCTATTAACACTTGAACTTCAAAGTCAGTAATCCACCAGGATAACTGAAACCATCAATCAGAAATACAAACCAAAATTAAAAGTCAACTAACATGAATTCTTGATCAGCTTCATTGCATATAGAATTAATAGGCAGAAAAGAGTCTAAAATGAAATGAAAGGTTTTTGCTTTAAGAATCCTCTTCTGTAAACAATGGTCCATATGACTATTCTATCTGATATATTTTTCTTTTTATGAACCTATAAGCATAAGAATGTGAAAAAGAAAAGTGACCGAAAAAATGAGGCTGGTCTGAGAAGAAATTGCTGATTATGGTCGTCAGACTTTCCATGATGGCACAGAGTCGGGCCAGAGCTGGCTCCTCTGTGGGGCCTTCACCCATAGCTGTTATTTGTGCTGCAGTGATTGTTGGGCAGCGGGGACCTCCGAGTGACCGGCAATCACTGGAATGAAGGGACTGTTGTAAGAGAGGGGAATTGTGAAACCAAACCAAGAGGAATACACAGGTTTCTGCATGAATAACAACTCCAACATAAACTGTTTCAAGTAGTGCATGCGACTGAGAACATGTTTCCAGAACAAGTGACTCAATCAGAGGGAACTGGGGTAATTGCTGGAACTGATCAAAGGTTTATTTGGAATGAGAAACACTGAAATATTATTGTTATAGATGACTTATGGATACAGCACATATCACCTGTATTATTTTGGGACAATCTGTGAAGATGAGTTGCCTAAATATAAGGAGCTCTTCTTAAGTGTTCTTTTGGGATGGGTTTGTACACCCCCCATCTAGCCAATCTCCCATAGGAAGAAGTTCAGTGATCTGCTGCTCATCCCAACTGGCTGCACCCAGACAGCTAGAGCATCAGGATCTTCTTTCTCCAAAAAGACATCAGCTCTGACATGTCATTTGTCATCACACCCTGACAAATGCACATTGCAAACACAGATACTGTCAACTATTTTGGCAATGTTATGGCTGGCTGGTTTTGAGGCAAAACTACAACTGTAATGCCAGGCAGAATAAGAGCAATGCATGTATCAATGACATTTGAGAGGCAAACAGCTACAATGGAAAGGGAAGAAACTATGTATATATTGTTTTGTGCATACATACAGATCCAGGAGTGATGGGAACTAGCTCGTGTGACTGTGCATATATACATGTATGCATATATGTGGAGAGAGAGAGATGTGTTGGAAGATTGTAAGAGAACATTGAAAACTTCTGTAGGAGTTTACTTTTGAACACAGTAAACTTGAAAGGGGGAGGGAGAGATTGTGAACATGTGTTCACACCTGCACTGGGGAGTAAAATAATCTTGTATTACAGGATAATTCATCACATCTTCTGCAGGGTGGTATTGAGAGACTACTCAATACTACACGCTTGGTGCAGAGAAATTAAGGTCTGGTCTGGAGAAAACTACTTTAGAATTGCTGGGAGGGGATCAAATACAAGAGTCTCCACAGCTTGGAAAAAGCACAAACAAACCCTCTCTTACTGAACATGGGAAACCCTGAGGACTTTCTCTTATTTACTTCTTTTTCTTATACTTTTATGCACATGCACTCCATTGATATAGTCTTCCAAGCTTTGTCTGGCATCAGGGTACAAATCATTAAGAGTGTAATAGCAGAAGTGAATTCTGCAGGTTTTCCTGAGGGTTTAAAACCCCCCTAACCAGGCTCTTTCCACAACACTTTTGGCCCTAAACCAGGCACTGGAAGAAGTTCTCTGGAAAGAGGCCTTTTGTAGGTGGCGAGGTCTCTATACTGGAGCCAGTCTGATTCCTTCACTCCTGCCAGCCAGCCCGCATCCTGCAAGACACAGACAAGCTTTCAAGGTCCAACTGCTGAAAAGCCTGCCCTGACAACAATTGGCAAAATAATTTGTGTAATCAGTGTTGTGGTTCTGCACTGAGACCTTACATTGCATGTAAATTGCTGTGCTATTTCAATGGGAAAGCTACTTGAAGGTTAATATTGATACTACAATTTATATAAAGAACAGTTAATTGAGATGAGCTGTTAAGAAAAAGAAAAGGATTAGAATTATAGCCAGTACAAAGACAGGAACACCAGGTGAAAGGATGCCATGCACAGGAGCACTTCCTGTCCTGTGGGTCATGGGGTGAAAAGGCTTGAGGATCCCTGGGTTAGAATAAAGTGCGGACAAAGCTACAGAAGGTCTAGTATTTCATCCTGGATGTTGTTGTTCTTTCCCCCAGCTCACATCATGTAACCCAAATATACCACAACTGACAAGGCTTATCAAATAATAACAGCTACCTATGTTACCTGATAATTCTGATGTGTTTGTTGTTGCTGTTATAATATCTAATTTTTCAAGTTTACATGGTACAAAGCAGTTTTTTGTCATGATGGCCGTGTTGGAAACATTTGTATGTTCTTTATAAATTATTCCTTATAAACATTTGTCTGTCTTGTAGATGGGCCACCAGGGAAATGCAGACACTTAGTCAAAGAAAGGTTAAAGAACCCATCCATGTGCGGTCATACACCATTGGGATTGATTATATGTAAAACAGAAACGGAGGCTGCCGTCTGCCCTTGGCCTGGGGAAGATAAGCAGAGCCTCAATGGGAAGAGCTGACAGAAAGGAGCAATTTGAAACATACAGATGGTATGAGGCAAAACTAGTGGGCAAGGACTCTTTATTATGTTAACTAATACCCTGAAGAGATCCCTCTTCAGATGAGGGATGGCCAGGTTTAATCCCAACCAAGTCCTGATACAGTTCAAGTATATCCAATAAAATGAGGACTCAAAAATTAAATAAAGAAGCTGAGCACATTCCCTTGTGATACAATCTGAGACTATAAATTGATGCTGTTATATACACAAAAATATAAGAATTTAGACAGGACAATTTTTGAAGGCAGAAAAAAAACAGTGAGAAAAAGATGGCAATAAAATAACTAATAATATCCTAGCTGATGACAAAAATTATACTCTTGAAATATATTATACATGTGAAGGACAAAGTTATATGTAAAGTGTGACAACTAAATATTTCTTATTTTTTCAATTAAATTTATTGAGGTAACATTGGTTAATAAGATAGTATAGGTTTCAAATGTTCATTTCTATGATACAAAGTATTTTCTAAAACTCTATTAAGGCTAGAAAAGGCCACATTTCTCCCATAAGTGTCTATGTTTTATATTTGACTTTATTTACTATGAGTGAAAAAATCTCATGGTGTCAAGTATAGTCATGCATTTTAAAATTGTTTCAATAAAAAATGAAGAACTCGTACAAACCTACAATCAAGATGTATTTCAACATGTATATCCTGAGATACAATTTATACAGTAAAGTGAAGAATATTATTAGCCAATATCAATCTTCAGCTGTGGAAAATATAAAATTAAATTTTAACTGTTTAAAATATGCAGTAGACTAGAAGTGGAGAAAGTGGACACCCTTGTCTTATTCTTGATCTTACTAGGAAAGCTTTTAGTTTTTGCCTTTGAATATGATTTTGGCTGTAAGTGTCTCATATATGGCCTTTATTATGCTAAGGTGTGCTCCTTCTACTCCCACTTTGCTGAGTGTTTTTATCATAAATAGGGACTGTACCTTATCAAATGCTTTTTCTGCATCCATTGATATGATCATGTGATTTTTGTCTTTCTCTTTGTTTATGTGATGTATTACACTTATTGACTTGCAAATATTGTACCATCCTTTCATCCCCGCGATGAATCCCACTTGATCATGGTGGATGATCTTTTTAATGAATTGCTGGATGTGGTTTGCCAATATTTTGTTGATTTTAGTGTCTAAGTTCATTAGCGATATTGCCTGTAGTTTTCTTTCTTTGTTGTGTCTTATCCGGATTTGGGATTAAGATGAAGCTGACCTCATAAAGAGTTTGGGAGTCTTTCCTCTTCTTTGATATTTTGGAGTAGTCTGAGAAGGATAGGGGCTAGCTCTTCCTTAAATGTTTTGTAAAATTCTCTGTGAAACCATCCAGTCCAGGGCTTTTGTGCGCTGGGAGTTTTTTGATTATTCTTCAATTTTGCCAGGTGTTATCGGTCCGTTCAAGCCTTCTGCTTCTTAATTCAGTTTTGGAAGACTATATTTTTCTAGAGACTTGTCCATTTCACCCAGGTTTTCAAATTTCTTGTCATATAGTTGTTCGTAGTAATGTCTTAAAATCTTTGTATTTCTGTGGTATCAGTTGTAATCTCTCCTCTTTCATTTCTGATTTATTTATTTGGGTCCTCTCCCTTTTTTTCTTGATGAGTCTGGTTAATGGCTTGCAATTCCACTGCTAGGATTATACCTTAAGAATCCCAAAACACCAACTCAAAAGAACCTATGCACCCCAATGTTCATAGCAGCACAATTTACAATAGCCAAGTACTGGAAGCAGCCGAAGTGCCCATCAGTAAATGAGTGGATCAAAAACTGGTACATTTACACAATGGGATACTACACAGCAGAAAGAAAGAAGGAACTCCTACCCTTCTTGACAGCATGGATGGAACTGGATAGCGTTATGTTAAGTCAAATAAGCCAGGTGGTGAAAGGCAAATACCATATGATCTCACCTATAAGTAGAACCTAATCAACAAAACAAACAATTGAGTAATATAGAACCAGAGATGGAAATAAAAAACAAACTGACAGTAACAAGAGGAGAGGGGGGAGGCGCATAATTAAGGCCAGAAGGGTAAGGGTTGTCAAGGAACATGTAAAAATGACCCACTGACAGAACCATAGCGAGGGTAGGATTGAAGGTGGGAGGTGGAGGTAGGTGGGTAGGGAAGAGTGGTGGTGGGAAAATGGGGACAACTGTAGTTGAAGAACAATAAAAAATTTTTAAAAATCAAGTATGTGGTAGACTAAGAATTTCCAGTTTTGGTAACGATAAAATAGCTTCTATCAGACAAATGCTTATTCCTCAAGCAACTATAACGTTAAAATAACTATTGGGAACATTTGTATATACCTAAAATACATATGTATAGATATATTCAACTATTAATATATAGAAATAATTATTTGTTATAAAACGTAGAATATAAAATATAAGCTTATAAAATGCAGTGGCTATAAATAAAGGGGTTGCACACGCATAACAACTATTTGAAGGCACTGAGAGTAAGCAAGAGCAGATAGAAGCTGGAGACTATTTAATGCTGGATAGCAGGAGCTACCCGGCTGAGATCTGTGCTGGCACCGCCTCCCCCTGAGGATGCTCCTCAGTCTGTGTGGTGCAGGGCATTCCGAGGAGAGAGCTGAGGGCTGCCAGAGCAGTGGCACTTTTATGGGGCATAGCTTGAAAAGGAGAGAGCTGTGGAGAAAGTTCCCCAAAGAGGCAGAGAAGCCTCCCTGAAATCCTGAGCTGCCCCCACCTGTGAATGCATCAGGGGTACCCCGCCTCCCAGAGCCTGGGGAAAACAGGAAGGAGGGAAAAGATGGGTAGAGATTCAAGCCAGTGGCGGGGAGGTGGAGCTTAGAGTTCAAATCTCATCAAGTTAGGGGGCTTGATAAACCTGTCAGGATTTCTACTGAGATCCCAGGTGGGGCATGTCTAAGAGGTAGCAACAATGGCGCAGGACTGGGAATTTATCCTAAGAGTAAGGCAACATTGAAACACACAGACCCAGGCAAACAAAATATAAAGTAAACTTCCATGAATTCAAGGTAAATAACGAGTATTCTGAATGCCTACTGGAAAAAATAATCTTCACAGATAGAAAACAGAATCCAGATCTTATAGTGTATTACTGCGTCCAGTACCAATGAAAATAAATTCTAGAGGTGAGAAAAAACAGGTAAATGTTACCAACTGATAAAAGGCAATTAATAAAAATGTGTCCTGGGATGGGCCCACATTTTGGAATTAGCAGCAAGAAATTTAAAGCAGTTATAAATATGTTCATGTACTGAAATTAAAACATGGTAATAATAAGAATAGATGACAAATCTCAGAAAGGAAATGAAAACTATATAAAAGAACAACATGAAAATTATAGAACTATGTAGACAATATCCTAAGTAAAAAAGTCACAGGATAAGTTTTACAACAAATTCATAGGCAGAAGATAGGGCCACTGTATTTAAAAGACAGGTCAATAGTAATTATCCAACCACAGTATCAGAGAGAAATAAATTTTGAACAAAAGAGAATGGTCTTGTCTAAAAGACTAACATATGTAGAACTGTGGACAGAAAAAAAGAGGAGAAAGAAAAAAATTAAGAAATAACAGCTGAAAGTCTTTCAAATATAGTGGAAAATATTAGGATACAAATCTAAGGAACACAGTGAACCTCAAGCATGAGAACTATGAAAAAAATAAGAACTTAGCACATTATTTTTGGAATGATGAAACATGATACAGACAAGTGTTTAAAATCAGTCAGGGCATAAGTCACAGTATTTGCTGTCATATAAACAACAGAGACTGGAAAACAATGGAATGATATTTTTAAAAAGTGGAAGGAAAAAAGTTAACTCAGAATTTTTTCTTTAGAGAAAAGATATTTAAAAACAAACATGAATAAAATTTTCAGATAAAGAACAGCTGAGAGGAGTTGTCAGCAATTCAACACTATAGGAATTGGTAGAGGCCTTTTTGTTTTTTTGTTTTATTCTCACTCAAGGAAGGTTTTTTGTTTTTTTTTTCTTTTTTTTTCTTTTTTTTTCTTTGCTTTCAGAGAGAGAGGGAGGGAGGAAGGAGGGGTGAAAGATAGAGAGAGGAACTGATAGAGAGCGAGAAACAGAGAGAGTGAGAGAGAGATGTAAGAGAGAAACAATGATTCTCTCATATGCACCCTGACTGGGGCTCTAACCTACACTTGTGTGTGTGCCCTGGCTGGGAATTGAACCCGCAACTCTTCAGTCTATGGGACGAAGCTCCAACCAACTGAGCCACACTGGAAAGGGAAATGTCTTTTTTTCTTCATTTCTTTAAAAGAAAACTTATGATTAATGCAAAAAATGTAAGTTTCTTTTGTGATATATTTTATAAGTTTATATTATATTTTACATATATTTTATAAGTTTAGAATGGGGTTTCTGAGATAATCAGACACTTTTGCCAGATCTTGGTAATTTGTGCTTTGTCTTCTTTTGTTTGTTTGTTTGAAGAATATCTCTAGAATTTTAACAATTTTATTAATCTCTTCAAAGAACATTTGGCTTTATTAATATTTTCTACTGTGTGTCTTTTTATTACATCCATCTGTGAATTCATTTTGTTATTTTTCCATCTATGTACTTTGTACTTAATTTGATCTCTTTTTATCTTCTTAGGCTGAAAACTTAGAAATTAATGATCACTATGAAATTTTTTTAACTTGCACTGATTTCTTTGAGCATAGATTGTTTAGAAACATATTTTTTAATTTTTAAATATTTGGGGCTCTTAAAGATATTATTATTATTAATTAGTGATTTAATTTTACTGTGGTAGAGACTCTCATTTGCTTGACCCAGCACCTGACCTCTCTGGGTAAGTGTATTATCATGAGAAAGATCCAAAGAAGGGACATGCAAGCCTTAACCTCAAATATGTGACTTTATTATGTGGAGGAAGGCTCATACATTTCTTTGATAGCTTTATAGAAGTTAGAGCTCTTCTCTCCAAAAAACATGTTCATAGACACATCTACAAATTTTTCATGCCACTTCAGGGCTTCACAACTCTTATGAAGAAGAGCAAAAGGGAGTTCTCAGCTCCTTAGCATCAGATCTCTATGCTTGGAGGTGATTTCTATTCCCCTGGAGATGACTTTTTTTAAAAAGTATATATCTTTTAGGGAGGAGATCTAATTTAAACACTGTGCAATGCAAAGATTGTTAAGTGTACAGTTCAGCTGAGTTGTGACAAGTGCATGCCCATGTGGAACCCGCACCCCATCAAGAAATAAAACACCTCCATCCCCCAGGCGTCCCCTCATGGTCTTTCCTTGTCAGTCTCCACACCGCCACAGGCAGGGACTTGTGACGGGGGCTGCAGGGCACACGGACAGTGTCTGCATGTCCTGAGGACTGGTGTTTCACAGGCAACATCCCTAGAAAGCGGATACCTAATAAGAAATGGTCGTCTATTTGTATAAAAAACAAACAACACACTATCATCCCAAACCTAAAACGTGTGATGTACTGTGGTCATAAGCCCCTAAATCCTTCTCAGAGCTGCCTTGAAGCATCTCAGAAAATGAAATGTGTATTTAGGAAGTCACTGTGCCCAAATGACCCACAGGGAAACCAAACATAGGCTGTACACTTTCCAATCTCATCCTTTACCTGGTCAGCCTCCGAATCCGAGGGGACCACCAACACCACGTCGCCCCTCTGTAAGGTAAGTTCATCAGAATTTGCTGCCTCGAAGTCATGCAGTGCTTCCACCTGCAAGATTGTAAAGGAGCTGATTAATGTTAGAAGGGAAATAGAGGCCAAATCAGCCTCCCTGTCAGATGATCCGCAGGCACTCTTACAAGCATCTCCAAGCTGGATAAAAACGAAGACGGGCCTCACACCCCAGAGGAGGAGAAGGCCTCTGAAGGCAGAAAGGAAATCCTCTTCTCTGGTTTCTTAAACCATCCGATTCTCCCAACTGATGCTGAGGCGATTGGGATGTGGATTTAGTCACACAACACCTTTTGCTAGAGCTTAAATGCCGTGTTAGTTTAATTCATCATATTTTTGTTACATATTTACATTTTAGTATTACTGATAGTTTATTATTGTCTGTTTTTTAAAACTGAACTAAAAATGCTTAGCAGCTTCTGTCACATTGGGAAAACCACCACTATTCATACTACATCACTATATATAATAAAATCATTATTTAATCACCTGTGTTCAATCTCTTTGTAAATAAGCTTCCTGCTTTCCCTATCTTACATTTGAAACAAGACAATCTGTTTCCATTTCCCTTTTTTGAAACATTTCTTTAAAATGTGATCATGGAAAAATTTAAAAAGTAGAAAGAATAGTAAAATGAACCCCCATTATGCAGCTTGAATAACTATAGTCACACCAGGTTTATTCCTTTCACATTCCCCCCCGCCCCAATTCCATTCATGGGATTACATAATCAGCTTTTAAAATGTGTGTTTTGCACGTGGCATCATATGCTGTCAGAGCTGGAAATTACTATCTTATCCGCAAACTCTGTCTTCGGATGAAAAGCCTGAAGCCCAGAGAGGGGGCGGAGTCGTGTTCCCGCTCCCACTGCAGTCAGTCAGGGAGGGGAGCCTGGGGCGGCCCGGCCAGGCCTGGCCTCCCGGGGCACCCGCACCCTCGGTTCCTTGTGTCTCAAACGAAATGCGGCGGGACACACGCCCCCACTAGTCTCACGTTCAGTTTTTTCTTCATATTGTTCCCTCATAACTCCATTACACCCACCTGTCCCCATTCGAGGTAGCAAGGCAGCAGTAACTCTGTAATGAGCAGAGAAAGTAGAAAAAGATTATAGCTATTCCATCCCATCCTCACAAACACACAATAATTTCACACTTTTTTTTAAGGCTGAATTTTGAAATGTAAAATCAAGTTATGGAACTTAAAATTCCCAAAAATGTTTTATTAAGGTGGATTAGCTGCCTTTAACATTTGGTTGAAGCCTGTGTTTCTAAGTATTTACTGTTTGTTTATTTTCTAAGGACCTTCAGCTTATGACGGCTCAGTGTAACCACTTGACGGCCTCTCTGAGCAAAACCTTCTGCCCATAAACAGGCCTCGTTTTCTCTTCCCTTTCATAGAAGCCCATCACCATATTTATTCACTTACTTTTAAAGTATGCATTGGCTCCCTACTCTGTGTCATGCCCTGCAACAAGCTGCCCGAGCTGGATGGCCGCTCGCTCTTTCCTGCCCTCCGGAGGTGTGTGATCCAGCTGGGAGCAGTTGAGCGCAGAGCAGAAGCCCCCACAAAGCTCCGTGGGGAGCAGAGGAGGGCACTAACCCATTCTCCACCAAAAGGCATATCGTTTAATTATCCATTTGTTAAAAGGAAAGATGTCATTGTAGTTCTCCTTTGTCTTCAGGACAGAAATCCCACCAGGCTGCAATGTGATGCTGGGATGGAGGGGAAAGCGGCACGGATAAAGAGTACCTATTGCTTAAAGTAAAAGTAAGAATCAGAAAACCAAAGGTTTGAGTAAAAGGGCCTCAAAAAAAAAAAAAAAAAAAGAAGGACATATGGTGCAGGGATGTCCAGGCAACTAAGATAAGCTGTGTTCCCACAGCCTTGAGCATGGGCCCCCATGCACAGAATCATGTTGTGTTATATATCTTGGCACCCTGCAAGCTTGGTGTGCAGTTAGTATATAAGGGAGTTGGGACTGCAGTACGACATGCAACTTGTGGCATGTGTGCATCACCCCACTCTTGAAAAAAGGCATGTCAGGCGTTCCCACAGCTCCATAAATTTTCTTCTGTCTGCCCAAATCCTGAGTGACCCTGTCTGGCCTTGAAAGGCTGCCAAACAAATGGCGCCCTCAGCAGGATTCGTTGGAGTACGGTATGAATATGGAGGAGCCCTTGGAACCCCCAGAGGGGGGCCTGGAAGGGTAGCTGGTCACCAGTATATGGTATTCGGTGGCAAGTCTCCTGGCAGCATGTGCTCCGCTCAGAATTGGCCTTTTGTTAGTGGTGCACCTGACACGGTAAAGAAGGCCCTACAGGAGGTCGGGGACACCCTAGAGAAGCTGAGTGCCCAGGCGGCCACGGGGGCTGTACGCTGTGTTTCTTTCAGCTTTGCGAGCTGAAATGTAGACTGCACTTCGTGATGAAGCAAAGTTACCTAACTCCAAGGAGGGGAGGAAGCCTTGCAGTCCAGAATCTGTGTCCTGCAGAAAGAGCTCTGACCAGCAGAGTTGGGTGATCCCCCTCCCTGGTGGTTGCTGCTAGCAGATGTGTGGGTGGAGCATGGAGAGGCAGAACTGAGTTGCCTGCAGGCCCAGCCACTAATGTTACAGAAGGTAAAGTCACAGCAGCCCATGGTGCCTGGGGGGAATCTGACTGACCCCGCTCAGATGGTTGAGCACACAACTTACTGCCCCTCTGTGCAGACTGAGCTGGCCGATCTCGCGAATCAGTTTCATCAGCAGCCAGGGCAGCCCTTAGCAGCGTGTCTCTTATTCCTTTGGGACTTAGGAGTGGACAGTATTATGTGCACTGATAATGAGATGGAAAATTTAGCTTCCATCATGATTCACCCCTCCCTGTAACAACAGCTGCAGAATAGCCATTGGCACAGAAAGGGGCCGGGCTCTCATTCTCTGCTGGAATACGTGACGGTGGCTATTCGCACTGTCTGGGCTGTTACAGGAGATGTGCCAGACACAGTGAGCGAATGGAGGCCTACTCAGATTTAGTGCAAATCCTGTGGGAGTTGGACATGGCCCAGGCTACGTTCAATCCCAATACCCAGGGCCCCGATGATAAATGCTTTAGGGCAGGGATGCCGCATCTAGTGTTGCAACACACCTCTTTTGCCCCACTTGGATCCTCCTGGCGATACTGGCTTAATGTATCAGCTGGCGCATTAATAACGTCACCGCAATGGTGGCGAACATGGGGGTGGTAGAGACTCGCCGGCAGCAAAAAGGAGTGTGGATGGTACAGTAAACTTCCCCTGTTTATTGGTCAAACAGTGCCCCTGTGTGGGTGACCAGGACACAGACGTGGTCAAACCTTTTTGGGACTGGAGTAAATTGAACTGAGATTGATAAGAACCTCAACGCCTACTTATTAGAGCTCTGGAAATAGCTGAGAGCTGACCAATGTTTTCTGTGGCCCCAGAAGAAGAAGACGGTGAGTAGGAAGCCTGGGGATGCAAACCGAGAGGGCCGTCCAGTCCAGCAGGAGGACCACCTGGCTCTGCCAACCTCCCAAAAGAGGGAGGAGATATCCTTTGGACACTTGAATAGGGGAGAGGCCAAGGGCCCCATCTACAGGGGACACGCCGGGACCCGAGGCCACATGTCAAATTGGCTATCCATTGGTCCCCTACTAATGTTCAGCGGGTCCTGCGTCTCATAGACACTGGAGTAGAATGTTCCCTCCTCTGGGAACTCTGAGAAGTTCCTGGGTCTGAGGCCTCTACTGATGGTTCTGGGGAGGGGTGGGGGAGGACAGGGGGGCAAAGTGTAATGATGAAGGCTGAGCAGCTCTCCCTGGACTGCCCTGCTGTGAATACACTGTTTATGTGTCCCCCATTCCTGAGTATATCTTGGGTATTGATGTGCTACAGGGGCTGTGGCTACACACGACCACAGGAGAGTTTCACCTGAGAGTGGAAGAGGTAAAAGTCGTTTCTGCGGGGACATGCTGAGTATCACCCCCATTCAGTTGCCGCCCTCGTGATGGGTAATGGCAGTAAAGCAATACTGGTTTCCTGGGGAACATGAGGAGATTACAGCTACTATAAGAGGGTTGGAAAAGGTAGGGATAATTAGGGCCACTCACAGTCCTTTAACTTCCTTGTGTGGCCATTGAGGAAGCCAGATGGCACATGGAGAATGACGGTAGATTACCAGGAGCTGCATAAGGTCATTCCCCCAATACATGCAGCCATCCCTTCTGTGGCAGACTTGATGGACCGATTAACCAATGAGCTGGGAAGACTTTATGGCTGATCTAGCAAATGCTTTTTCTCCATTGACTTTGCTCCAGGGAGTCGAGATCAGTTTGCCTTCACATGGGAGGGCCAACAAAGGACCTTTTACTCCCTCAAGGATACTTGCACAGCCCAACCATCTGTCACAGGCTTGTGGCAGAATTCCTGGCTAAGTGGCCATGGCCAGCAGAAGTGCTCCTTTTCCATTGCATTGATGACATTTTGCTAACCAGTGATTCTCTTACAGAATTAGATAAAGCAGTGCCAAAGTGCTGTCTCACCTGAAGTCATGGGGCTGGGCAGTCAACGAAGCCAAGCTGCATGGGCTTGGGTTATCTTTCAAATTCTTGGGGGTTGTCTGGTCAGGTAAGGCACAAATCATTCCTCATGAGGAGATAGGTAAAGTTCAGGTGTACCCTACTTCTACCACTGTGAAGCAGCTCCAAACATTTTTGGGCCTTCTAGGGTAACGGGGAGTGTTTGTGCCTACCTTGCTCAAGTGGTTTTCCCCTTGTATTCTTTGGTAAAAAAGGGAGCAAGCTGGGACTGGACCCTGACCTTGGAATAAGCATTCCAAGGAGCGAAGTGCATCATTAAATGCGCTCAGGCTTTGCATGCTCTAGATTCTGCTAGATCCTGTGAGCTAGATGTGCATGTGACCCAGGAAGGCTTTGGGTGAGGTCTGTGGCAACGATTGGAACACCTACATCAACTCTTGGGTTTCTGTTCCTAACTATGGAAGGAAGCAGAGGTACGGTACTCATTGATTGAAAAGCAGCTGGCTGCAGTATATGCTGCCCTGTTGGCCATGGAGACTATAACAGAACTGCCCCCATTACAGTAAGGACCATTTACCCCATTGCAGGGTGGGTCCAAGACTGGATGGCCAAGCCTCGCAGTGGGATGGCTCAGACATCCACCTTGGCTAAGTAGGGGGCAACAAAGGAGTGCTCTGTCAATTAGCCCCCTACAGGCTGAGTTGCAGGAAATGTTTTGTCCTGTTACCTATGTAGTTGAAAAATCTACTGTTCCTTCCCCTGTAGTAAAAAAATGGAAGCTAGCCCCTTCCATGAAGGCCAGGCACCTAGTCCCTCAGACGCATTGTATACTGATAAGTCCAGCAGGGGTCAGCCTGCAGTATGGACTGCTATGGCAATTCAGTCAGAAACAGACACAATCTGGTTTGATACTGGAGCAGGTCAGAGTAGCCAGTGGGCTGAACAGTGAGTCGTGTGCCTCTTGGCTGCCAATGAAGCACCACCCCTGACTATTTGCACAGATAGTTGGGCAGTGTACTCGAGGCTAACATTATGGATCTCTACATGGCATGTAAATAAATGGATGGTTATGCATAGGCCATTATGGGGAGAGGCCTTGTGGCAAGACCCATGGGAATTAGGCCACCAGAAACAAATCACTGTATATCATGTGACTGGACATGGACCCCTTACTTCCCCCGGGAATAATGAGGCTGACACTTTAGCTGAGGTGCAATGGCTGGAAACGGTGCCTGCTGGCCATCAGTAAGAGACGTCACCCTGTGGCTGCACCATCGCCTCTTACATGCTGGACAGAAGACCACGTGATCTACTATACAAACCTGGGAGTTACCTGTCCCCTTAGCGGAGGTACAGGAAGCTTGTGAGACCTGTGTTTTCTGTTCACGAGAGCTCCCCGGAGGCCTGTGGGAACTACTGGGCAGGTGGTGTGCGGATGAGTATGGATGACTCAGTAGCAGGTTGATGTAATCAGACCCCTGCCTAGTTCAGAGGGGTGTAAGTATGCGATCACATGTGTGGACATGGCTACTGGACTTTCAGCTTATCCCACACGGCACCCAGATCAGAAAGCGGTAATCGCTGTACTGGATAGGTTATTCACTGCCTATGAGCGACCCTTGATCACTGAAAGTGATCAGAGGACACCCTTTACAGGGGTCTTGGTGCAACAATGGGCTCGAGACTTGCAGATTGACTGGGAGTTCCATGTGGACTATCACCCCAACTGCCGGGAAGATTGGACGGTACAATGGTCTCTTAAAGCAGGGTCTGCGGGCCACGGCTGCCACCCCCACGCTGAGGGGATGGATGAAATGCTTGTGAAATGTCCTCCAGACTCTAAATGGGAGAAGGTGGAGAGGAGCCCAGCTCCCGTGGAAGTCTTGCTCCACCAGACAGCAGCTCCCATCTAGCTGCAGGTACAGACTAAGGATGCTTTGCTGAAACCAGGCATGGGAAAACAAGGAAATACTTTCTTGCCTACTCCTAAGGGCCTGGAGCAAGGACAAACAACCATTTGGATGTGGCCTTGGGACACAAAAGCCCCCCCCATGCATTGGGTGGCTCTTGTTGCCCCTTGGAAACAAGGGGTTGAGAGGAACTTGTAAGTAGTTCCCTGGGTGATTAGGACATGGCCTGCAGTCCTAAAGGTGACATATCCAAATGCCAGCAGACCACGAAATGCTTCTTCTTGGCACCTTTGTGATATTCTTATGGCCCATTATGAGTTCTCCATTGTTGTTGCAAGTAGATGCTGAACCCCCAGTTGAGGCTCAGAAGGTTTTATATTCATGCCCAGGAAGATCTCCTCTGCCGGCCATTGTTTTACGGGCTGACCAGAAACTTGCTTGTATATTGCCAGACAGTGGTAATTTGCCATTGTTAGTTCCAATAACTGCTTTGTCTTTTCTCCCCGAGGGTGCAAAGTAACACCTTAGTGGACTGGGCACATACCTATGCCTCCGTGGCTAACCAATCAGTGTGCTGGGTCTGCACAGAAATCCCCCTGAGCATGTCCACCGGCCTCCCATGGCGCATCTCTCCAGCTTCTGTCTCAAATTGGACTTGGTTACAGCACCAGTGGAACAGTGCACATCCCTTATGGAATGCGACCTGAACTAATGTCTACACAGTGGCAAGGCAGCAGTATGACTGGCCCAGGCCTCTAGTGAGCTACTCCATATGGGATGGCTCATGTTGGCTCATGCTGAGGCCATGGAGCCGGCTGAATCAGCTCCCCTTTGTATTGAGAACCTCAAAGGACAAGCCCAAGTGGCCTGGACTCTGACAGGCCTGTGTCAGACTCAGACTCTGAAGCATGACTGGGAGGTGCGGAATGACGTGTGAGCTGCAGTTTCCACTGGGGCTCTCTGAATGTGTGGCTCACACGAGTGGCCTTACTTGCCTGGAAATTGGACGGGCCGTTGTACTTGGGGATGGCCATATTTGCGTGCTCGAGTTCAGAAAACGCCTGCAATCTGAGCAACGAATTGGGAAACGTTTTAGGAGCAACACTGGGTAAAGTGTACTCCTTCGTGGTATTACCCATTAGCCATTTTTCTCTCCTCAAGTTGTTTCTATAGTCACTGAGATAACTGCTTTGGCTTTGAACACTGTTTGTGCTTTGAATGCAACACATGATTCCTTACGCGTCTTAAATGAGGAAGTGTATAAATTGAAAAAAATAGCCTTACAAAATCATATGGCCTCAGATATGTTCATTGCATCACAAGGTAGGGTGTGTGCCCTAGTAGGGGCTGAATGCTGTGGGTACATACCAGGTGTCCATCACAATGTTAGCTGAGCTCTATGGCCATTAGCTTCTGAGACCTGTGCTATTGAACGCCTGACAGGTAGGTGGTCCCCTGCAGGTATGGTGGGCATCTCTAACTACTGAATGGTGGTTGGTCCTTGCTGTCTTGGCCAGCAGCACTTGTGTTCTGTTTGAGTGCTATTGCGGTTTGTACAGATGTTGTGGTATTTAGGTGCAGGGCTCTGCCCACCTCGCAAAGGGACCCTTGCAGAAGACAACCTCACATACATTGTACAGTGAGGAACCCTGAAGAGGTGGATTGTAGGGAAAATGGAGTTAATCAGGTTCCCTCAACTGGATGTCCGGGCAACTGAGATAAGCAGTATTCTCATAACCTTTAGAATGTGCCCATGTGCACAGAATCATGCTTTGTTATATAATATCTTGGCACCCTGCTGGCATTGTGTGCATTTAGTATATAAGGGGGTTGGGACTTCCTGCCATGTGACACATGGCTTGTGGTGTGTGTGGATCACCCCCCACCCTTGAAAAAAGGCATGTCAGGCATTCCCATGGCTCCACAAATTTTCTTCCATCTGCCCGAATTCTGAGTGAAGCTGCCTGGCCTTAAAAGGCTGCAAGACATATGGCTACAACATTTTAAAAATTAAAAATAGAAAGACCTTGTAAAGGAAGCCAGGAGGCAGTTCCTAAGAGGCCTCGCTTGCAGACGGCGCGGAGGCTGCTGGTTGGAAGTCCTCAGCGGCCTTCTGCTCGGAGGCCTGTTCCAGCGTCTCCCTGGTGGGGCCTGGAAGAGCCGAGCCTTCAGTCGCCTCCTTGGACTCTGCACCTGTAATTATTTCATGTTCTCCCTCTCCTTCATTGTTGGAAGCAGGCTCTATGACGACAGAGGGGATGACCTTCTCCTGGGGGAAGAAACATGTGACGGTCCTTTGGAGACAAGACATCTGCATCCTTCCCGTCACACCCTCCTTGGCTCCCTCGTCCCCCACCCCCCTCATTCAACTAAAGGCCTGCTGTCCCCCAAACTGGATTTAGGCTTTCTGGCCCTTGGGCCTTCGGCCTGCAGGGCCTTCCTCCTTTCTCTCTCTCCTGAGTCAGACACCCTTAGTGGGATTCATTTCTGGACCCTGGGACAATCATCCAGCTTGGTAAGAGGGTGGTGTCTGTGTCACCTGGAAAAAACAACAGGAGACTGCAGGGAGGGAAGTGAGTCACAGTGGGCTGGAAGAGAGAGTCCTGCAAGGAAATGCACTCAGCTTCCAAGGATGGTCTCATTTGTTCAGTGGTTCATTCTTGTCCCACTAAACGCTAACACTCACTTGTAGCTGACATGTAACATCCTGTGACTGCTTTTCTCCTACAGTCCCATGGGACTCTCAAAGATCCTGAAACCACATTGTTGGTAAAGACAGGCCCACGATTGGAGGTAATCTACCTGTCCTTTGCTTCTTGATTATCACTAGAGCCACACCACAGTCACAGTTTAAGGAACGGCAATTCCCACCAACCACTCTAAGTACTCTGTTGTCTGGGCAAGCAGAACCAAGGGATCAAGTCCTTCCTTTTATGTTTTGACAAAGATGAGCAAGAAGCAGAATTTAACTCCCATTATGAAAGGCTGGAGATATTTCTTGCTTTTCAGATTAACTTCTATATTCCCTCAGATATCAGGGGACCTAAGCACTTCTACTATTTAATTCAGAGAAAATCATACACTCTTTCAACAAAATTTTTCTTGATATGGTGACAAGAAAATATCACAAAAAAATAAGATACACTTTTGAGGTATTTCTTCAAACACCAATAAAACCTGATTTAAAAGCTGATTTTCTAGTGGGATGGAAAGGATAATTCAGTTTCAAACTTTGAGTAACTCTGGACAGACTTCTGGAAACTTATCATGAGTAAAGTAATGAAAAAAATGGAACACAGAACATTAAGCCCACTCTCCACTGTCACCACTAACATATAGAGGAACAAAACATGGGGTGTAGAGCAGCTGCCCTTGCACGGCACCCGGGTTGGAGGCTCCCACAGCCCCAGCATACATGGCACTGTTGCCTTGAAAGCTTCTCTGAAGGAAGGAAGAGCTGGGCAAAGCCCAACTCATGTATGTAGTGAATGACCCATTCTCCTTTTGAAAGTATAACATAAGGATGGGTTTTAATTAAAAGGAGCTTAATTTGGGGTGAATTTGGGTCCTCGGCAGGTATCTGGCACCAGGTAAGAATTTCATGGCTATTTCCTCACATAATCCACGCAACCACCATGTTATTCCATCATATTCCCTTTCTCCTCCCTCTATTCTCATGCTTTTTGTCATTTGTGCCTCTTTTCTTTCCTCCACGAATTTACTGCAGTTTCCTCTCTCGGGCTCAATTTAAGCCCGGTCCTCCATAGCACTGTATTCTGTGTGGAACCCCAGAATACAGACTTGAGAAAATGCTGTGTGCTGTGACCAGTCTTTCTGAGAATCTAATTTTTTGTTTGTTTGCTTACGCGGGGAGTGGTATGCCACAAAAAGGCTACAAACATATTCTACGTCCTAAAACGTTATCGGCATTAGTCAACAGAGCATCCCGGCTGCGCCATCTTCCCAGAACCTCCATTTCACTAGGACACGTACCTGCGGTGCTGCCGCTTCTGTGTCTTCTGGTTGAGGTCTGTCACTGCCTACGACCTCTGTGGTTTCAGGATCAACCCCGGCCTCCTCTAAACTTGCTCTTTCCCCAGGAGGAGGAGCCGCCTCCTCTGTCTCTGCTTCCTCTGCCGGGGCCCCCTCCGCGGCCGACACCAGCGCTCCCACAGTCCCATCAGCTTCGGTTCCAGGTAGGATCTGCAAACAAGCACCAAGCGGGCCGCGTTTGTGTTTCCCGGACCTCAGTGGGGGTTAAGTTTAGCGCTTTCCTTCTCTCCCCTCTGCGGAGGCTCACTGGATTTCAAAGCTCCCTTTGCAAGGCACTGAGGCCCAGCCTCCTGGTACAGCAGTCTGCCATCGCTTGGTCAACTCTGACCCCTCCCTCTCCTGGGCGCCCACAAGGCTGCCTTCCTCAGCTTTCCGCGCAGTGCGGTGTAGCAAAGCGACACATGCCATTCCTGAGACATGGCTTTCAAGTTGTGGGTGGTCCCTTCCCCAGCTAATTCCATTTTTGTTGCCTGAAAGCAGATGATACAAGGTCCTAGAGGACACCAGAGCCACAAAGTGGGTGGGGCCTGGCCTCAATACCAGGGTCATGGAACAGAGCTACAGGAGACAAGCCTCCTCACCACACAACGCCAGGATTTAGAAAAACTGCGTTTCAGTATAAACCTTCAAATCTTCATGGAGAAGGTCCCAGAAGCTAAATCACATTCATGGGAGAAAAAAAAAAAAAAATAATGAGGGCAATTTCTCATGAGACTTCTTGAGAATAAAAGACAAATCATTTTAAAAAAAGATTTTATTTAGTTATGTGCAGAGAGAGGGGAAGATAGGGAGACAGAGAGGGAGAAAAACATTGATGAGTGAAGAAAAACATCGATCAGTTGCTTCCTGCAGCACCTCAACTGGGAACCTGGCCCACATTCCAGGCATGAGCCCTGACCAAGAATCGAACCAGCTACCCTTCACTTTGCCATACAGCACCCAACCAACTGACTGAGCCACATGGGTCAGAGTAGAGAAATCATTTTTATTATCAAATATTCATTATAATAAGAAATCAAGTCAGATTTTTTTTTGTCCTTTACTGGGAGTAGTAAAATAGGAAGAAAAAAAGGAAAATTTTGTTTCTATGTATTATTTAAAACTTGCAATAATGAAATAAAGAAAGTATAATCAACAGTTTAATTTCTAACAAATTGGTTATGAAATCTAAGTCTTTCGCAAGATTCTGACTTCTGCTTGGAAGGCCTGATTTCAGAGGTTCAAATAAAAAGATGAGGAAGAAGGAGCCCAGGACACATATTTCAAAAATTGCTCTTGCTATCTGATGTGATTAGAGTTAGGCATTCCTTTTCTTTATCAAATAAATTCCACGCAGTGAAGTTAGGAAAAGCCCTCGTGTGGCAGACAACAACTATCAAACCCAGAACGCGGAGAAGGAGGGTGGAGTGTGCCTGCAGCGCGGGCGTCCGAAACCGCTACAAGGTCACCACCCACACGTCTGCGACCCGTGGCAAGGTACTTTAAAAAAAGTTTTTTTGACTCAAATTTACAGGTAATAGATTAAGTAAGAATAACCTGTTTCAGTTTACATTTTTCTACAATGTAATACTTTGGGAATGAAAAACTATGTTAATAGTTGTACTATTTGTTATATGGCCAAGAATTACTCATATTCTTAGAAATTTATTTTCTTCTTTATGAGAATCTCTTATTCTGAGGATTTGGCTGTCCAGAGTGTGCAATGATCCAAAATGTAGTCACTAGCCCAGAGGTAGCATTTACTTCATTTTTTGACCTTGTCATTAAAGTGCATAGGTTCAGAATTGTAGCATATTTATTCCAAGTGAATTAGAAATGCTGATAGTGGGGTTATAGGTACATGGGGATTAGTATTTTGGTGAATGACTGAAAATTTCTATGATAAGAGTTTATATAAACATTTAAGAGAATTGTACCTCTTGTTTTAAATAAACATTGAGCGTTTTATGGCTGCTATTTTCCTGTTGTCAAGAAAGTAACAATAAGAACATAAATAAGGGGGTTAGCTTAATTCCAAAGAGAACATTGAACAATTCCTCGTAGGTTTATTGTTGGAGAAAGCAACAAGCTTTCTTCAGGACCCTAAGGGCATAGCAAAGTTTCTTCCACATCAGAAACTGTACATAAAGACAGTGCACATACAATGGGTTTATGGGCTTAAATGCAGAAAGCAGGTTATGTTGTCCAATTCTAAGTGATTAATGATTTCCAGTCTGTCTGGAAAATCACACTACAGAGTGACCTTCCCACGGGTTCCCATAGCTCCATACCAGACAGACTCTAGAACATGCAGACAGTGTGAACAGACAGTGAATACTGCCATATGCACACATATACACCTATTGCTACAGGTAAAAAAGCAGCCACCATGTTGTTTGATAGGCTCTTCCCCCAAGTAACTATACATAATTTTTTTTTCCATACATGTATGTTCCAATCACATACTCCTAGAAATTGGATATCACTCTCAACTGAATTGACATAGCTCCAGAAGAGAATATATTTCTGGGAAGCATTGATGGCATCCTCAAAGGTAATTTTTTAATCTCTACAAACAAATAGAATCTTAATAATGAGTTCTAGTTCATCCCTAGAGCTCTATATACCTATCAACATGATCGTATCACATTTTACTACCACAAGATATTTTCATCTTTCCTATTTTAAATGGTTTAAACAGGCATTGATTTAGACCTGACAGTGTGGCTGCTGTGATGACAGCCACCAGCAGGTGGAGCTCAAGTGCACCATCTGTCTGCTCTGACTTTTCTTGACCCGGCAGAAGAAAATTGCAGGGCAGCAATTTACCTGATTTCTGTCTCTCTTGTCTGTCTGTCTGTCTCTTTCTCTCTCTCTCTCTCTCTCTCTCTCTCTCTCTCTCACACACACACACACACACACACACACACACACACACACACACACCATAAAGCATGTGAAAAACTGTTGATAACAATGATAGCACGCAGGCCGGGTAGCTCAGTTGTTGGTTGGAGCATCTTCCCTTATACCAAAAGGTTGTGGGTTTGATTCCTGGTCAAGGCACAAAGAGGAGACAACGGATGGATGCTTCTCTCTCACACAACATTTTTTTCTCTCTCTCCCTCTCTCTCAAAACAACAAACATGTACTTGGATGAGGATTAAAAATAAAAAAGAAGGATGCCAAATAAAAATCAACAAAATATTGACAGTAAATGTTGATAGAATCAGGGTGCCAAGGAAACTGCCACTTTGCCTATGGAGGGGAAACGATTTGAATGACTTACTTAGAGCAGGTAAGAAATTAATGATTTTTTTCATCCTCCTCTGTGACCGTTAGTAATAAATTCTGATTCCTCTAGCCACAATCAACACTTTGATTTACAGAGCCCAAGGACACTGCAGAGAGAGAGAAGGATTGTCCACTGTCTAGATCCCCTCACATCTTTCTGCCTCTGGCATTGCTCTGATCCTCTGGGGTGCCCCAGTTCTCCCTTTACGTCTGGAATCTGTGATGCATCTGCTGCTCTTACCAAAGTATTTCCTCTGCATATTTACTGACAGCAATAATAGGACAACATAAAACTATAACAGAAAACAGGAATCTGTTTGCTCTAATTAGGCATTAGTTCTAATTAAAATCAAGGAAAGATTGAAAAGGTATTCAGGGATAAAACTTTTACTCTTTTATGTATTCCAGTTTGTTAGCCATTTGTAGATTTAGACAAGGAAACTGTTTTCTAGATTTTGCTTGCTACCATAGATGTTGCATCTCCTAGGAAAAAACACAATGGTTCATGGCTACTTTTTTTTTTTTTAAGTATTATCAGGAGGATCAGAGGACTGAAACTACTAAAGGTATTTCAAGACTTTGATATTCAATATTATTAAATTTTCCTCTTTACCCCAAATGTAAAGGTAACACCATTCTCTTCTGCCAAAACTATACTATCTGTTGGCCAAATATATTTAGGGTGGAAAACATCTATTGCAAAGAGAAACTAAAAATGCCTCCCTGCCCTGTTATTTCATTGTGTGAGGGGTCCCTAACTATTGCCAATTTGCACATCAATCACACAGAAATCATAAGGATCCCATCGCAAGCATGGGTCCCATCTTTGAGATGGTGGGTGGTTCTCTATCACTTTTTCATACAGATCTGACTGCTTTTATATCTTCTGCTTGGACAATCTCTTTAATGGAAAGCAATACAGTTATGGCATTCATGTCAGAGTCCTTGCAAACACCTGACTGCATTACAAAATTATCTGGAAGTGGAATGAAATTAATGAAATGCAACAGTGGCCTCAGTATCCTGCAAAGGAGGGGAACACAACTGGGTGACAGAAAATAGTCCCCCCAGGAGATGGTGCCTTGAAAGCAAGTCAACAAGGACTGAGACCCCAGACGAGTAAGAGTAGTGAAGGGCTGCAGGAGAAATTTGTAATGTCTGGGTTTTTTGTAATTTATTGATCTCATTTACTTAGTCATTGTTTTGCTTCCTTGGCAATATTGTCTCTCAGCAAGGCCTGAGAAGCAGCTTCCAATCATGTATCTTGCCTAGATGGCAACTGTAGAGAGTTCTTAGTAGAAAATTCCAAACTTATTTATAAAGCAGTTTATTTTAACTGAATAGGTTTTCTACTGATTAAGAAATAATGGGTATTATTGTTTTAAAAATAAAAGAGAACTTATGGAAACATTTGGAGGTATTTAATTTTATTCATTTCTATGCATACAGGGGCTTGATTTGTCTTTTACAACACAGATTATGTTCGTTAAAAAAATTCTATCAATGGCTATAGAATACTTTATTTCCTTTTCTACTTAACAATTTATTTAACAGTTCTCCTATAATGGAACTAGTTGGTTTCCAGTTCTTAAAAATGTTATAAACGTGGTGAGAACAATCTCAGTTTGTGACCGTATTTACAAAAAATATATAAGCTATTCATTTAAGTAATTGAAATACAAAACACTGCTCCTTTTATCTATTTATGATGTCTTACTTAAGGACCTTTTCTTGGGGAGGTTGCCCACAATTTTATTATGGAAAAAAATCAACACAGATAAAAGTTAAATAGATCATGTAGTGCACATCCAAGTGCCCAGCCGGCTCCTAGGGTCTCCACTGACAGGCTGCTACGTTTGCTTTCACCATGCCTTCCCATCTGTCCATTCTGATTTTGATTCATCTCTGTCAGTCACAATATATACTCAAAAAATGGATTTCAGGAATTCTATGGGATGCTTTAAACCTTATATATTTAGTAATGTGTTCCTGCTGCTTCCCTCTGACTGACTACTGCCTTGGGGTAAAATTGCTACAATGTGCTGTGTTTGGCATTCAAAATCCATATGTCCTACTAACAGCTTCTGACCTTTACTGTTGGGAAGGACAAGTCTGAGCCCTGCCTCACTATTGTTCCTTTGTACTACATTTCCCTTGTAATCTAGATGCTTGCAGAACTTTTATGCAGGATTCAATT